GCGTGCAAAATGATGACAAAGACACAGATGGAGAAAGAAGAGAGAGTTAAAGCTTCTAAATTTTAGGTGGGAAAGAGGTAGTTGAGAAGATTTTTGATCAACTTATTCGGAATTTCATAGCTATCGTTATGGTGATGTTTTCTCTTTTCCATTTTTGTTTGGTTTGGAAACAAATGTAATCGCTCATGACAATTGGAAATATCAAATTTTAGTATATTGGCCATTTGGGATCCAGGTTAAGTAGGATGCTAAGGCCTATGTCCAAAAGAAAGCCCAAGAATTAGCAGAAACAAACCAAGCTCTGATGATCGAAGCACAATAATAGCCTACCACCGCGACTCTATTATGGCAAGCTCTTTAGGCAATCGCGGTTTTGCCCTTAGCAAAAAATGGCATGGTCAAGTCATTGCCTGGAGAGTTCGGTGGTAAACTCCAAGTAAACCCTTGAAGAAGCCTAGCAAGTAACATAGTGGTAATTGTTGAGCCAAGTTTTACACCTAGACAACCTCGTCGTCCAATACTAAATGATAACAAACGTAACTTTGAATCAGTGAAAACTACATCACCACCTTCCTTTTGGTGGGATTATCCCAAACTCTAGGGTTTCGGCCAAGTCCAAGACGTCTTAATAACACTACACTCCCTTTTGGGATGAAGTATTCACCAACAACAGAATCCGATACAGACACATGAGGAGCGTTAAAAGCCGACAAGGGATGTAGTCGAAAGGACTCTTTAATACAAGCTTTGACATAGTTTAACTGTGGCATGTCGGATTCTTGAACCAATCTATTGTTCCCAATGACATTGTCAATCTCTTCTATGGCCCTTCGCATTATCTTTGGTTGGTTTAACATTTCTTTGGTTGTCCACTCAACTGCATATGAGGGATTATCTAACGTTGCAAGCATGAATTCCTGTCAATATAATTGGTAACCAAGAATATCAAACAAAATAATCGTATTTGATTTTCTAAAAACAAACTTTATGTTTTTCTAAAATCAAATCGAAATATTTTCCAAAAACAAAAAAATGCAAGTCTCGTTTCCACATAAACTAATAAAATGATGTAATCCAAACGGACAATCGATCTTCTGACTTATGTTTCAAAAATACTTTCTAAATTCTTCTTAAACTACTCCCTCATTTCAATTTATGTGAACATTTTTGCTTTTCAAGATTCAAACTACGTACATTTTGACCAACATTTTGAAAGGCATTTTTTCATCATATCGACATGGGAAGAATTAAAAATTATAGTATTTTTTGTATAGTTTTGGAATATCTAAATTTTAATTTTAAATATCAAGTTAATCTAATTCAATTTATCTTCAAAGATAAGTTAAATTGACTCTCGAAAAATAAAAAAGTTTACATAAACTGGAACAGAGGGAGTAAATCAAGAATATCCATCGAGTAAAGTTGAATTTTGATTACTTATATGGTCAAAACATATTGAAATTGGGTTTAACCAAGATTCAAGACAGATTTTCAGTTTCTAATTTAATCTCACTCCACTGTTTCGATTTATATGATGCCGTTTGATTGGATACTGAACTTGAGAAAGAGACTTTTGAAACTTGTGACTAGAAATATGTCATGACATTTATAGCCGTAAAAGCATTTCACTAAAGATAAAAATGAAAATCTTAAAGTTTATCATGTTGTTCACATGGTTTAAGAGATTGGAAGTATACTCACAAGGACTTGCGCTTTAATCTCTTTAGCATTCAACATAGGATTCCCATTAGTATCTCTGAGCATGATAAGGACATCAAGGATGTCTTCTTCCACGGTTTTTTTGCCATTCTTCCAAATATGAATCCTCTGGTCAATTTCAAGATCAATGTGTTTTGTTGCTATGGCAAAGGCTTTCTTAATAATTGCCTTGTGACCATCTAAATCAAATCCACTTAACCATGGTAAGTAATCTGAGATACCAAAAGAATGAAAATATTCAACAAGTGTAAAAATTGCATCAACTTGCTTCTCCTGATCTTCTTGTAATTCTACTAATGGTCCTCCATTTTCCATTATTCTTTTTCCAAGTAATCTCTTGCTGAAAATCATATTGTTAATAACATTTGCACAATAGTATCTTGTCACTTTCCTCAAGTTAATAACAAGACGTTTGTTAATGCACTGTTCATAAACGAATCGAAGAATATGGTCAGCTTCTTCATCTCTCTTACGACGAAGCCATTGAAAAGATGTAGCTGAGAGGACATGGGAAGAAAGGATTCTTCTCATTTTTATCGATTGATCACCCATAGGGAGAAAACCTGAAGTCAAGTAGCCATTGCTAACGAGGTTCGCGGACATGCAAATAGGCCTCGATGAGAGAATCGAGTCTTGATTCTTTAAAAATAGGCAAGCAAACTCAGGAGAAGTGACAGGAATGACATGAACATTACCAAGACAAATGCAAGCAATTTCAGTCTCCATTTCCTCCATTAGTTTGTGTATCCACTCAAATGCTGGCTTCTTGTTTAGTACCATTTGAGGAATGCAACCAACTATTGGCCATGGTTTTGGACCTGGAGGAAATAATGGCTTATTTCTTGTACTACTCAATAATTTGCTTGTTATCCTAAGGATTATGGAAAATAAAATTTGCCATAGAGTAGTAATATAGCTAAAGAAAGTGGAAACCATTTGAAAAAAATAAAAAATGTGTGGCAATTTAATATTTCTGATCATGATTTTCCTTGTTATTACTGAAGGCTATGTTTCAAAGGTTGCATGCTATCTACGCTATTTATAACTAATTTGCATGAGCTTGCACATTAGTATTTTTCAGCAGTAAGACTATGTTTGGATCATTGTTACCCATCGTATAATGTATTGTACTGTATTGTATCGTTTTTATGGCCAACGTTTGGATAGAATGTATCATTGTTGTTGTTAAATAACATTTTTGTTGTTTGGTTTGACTATATCGTAATGGACTGTAACTGATAAGTTTACTAAAATACCCTCAATTGTTTTAAATAAAATGTATCAAGAATTGCGTATAAAAATAACTTAAAAAAACTTCTTTCTGCTATAATTTATCATAAATTATGTAGCTTGAAAACAAGAGCAAAAACTTGAAGAAAAAGGCTAACTATCGCTAGTTTAAAAAAACAAAATCTAAAACGATGGAAAAAGATAAAGAATACAACGGAGATTTGGATGAAAAGAACGGCACGAACCAACTCTAGAAAAGATGACGTAGACATAGTAGGTCAATAGGTTGGAGATTTGAAATTAAAATAAAAAAAAAAGGTGAAGAATACAATTATGGAGTAATAGGTAAAGGCATAACTGAAAAAGAAAATATGAAACAACCCAACCTACCAAATTGATAGTTTCATAAAATGGGGCTTTTGGTTATTCCGGAACAATGCATTTAACAATACGATACAATTAGTTTTAAATAAACAATCAAAATAAATATTATTTTAGGATAACAATACAATACAATAGGTAATAATCATCCAAACAAGTTGTAAGATAAGGAAGATTAGTACGTTCTAATTTGAATATTAGTACTAATATGAAGATAAGGAGGATTAATTAGCGGAGTAGTAATCTTACAAAAGCAGTAAGATAAGGAAGATTGTGTAAAANCCCCAATTTTAATGTAAATTAAATGCAGAATTTTAGTTATACAACTTAGTAGAAGTTAATATTAAGCCAAATACATGGGTAAAGATCCAGTCGAGTGTTATTCCCTCAACGAATGTTCAATTTCCTTTTTAGATGGGCTTTTACATTTATATCCGGTTTTGGGGTCACAATTGAAATTATACCCATTTTGCAAAATTATCACTTTGCGATCAATCTTCCTACCCAGTAGTTTTATTCAGTCTTAGAAGTGATTTAGGCGTTTCTTTGTTGAGCCAGTTATATGCTTTTACCCACCTAATTGTTATGTATGTTAGTTAACCCTATTGAACATTTAATCCTATTTCTTTGGCAACCACAGTAAGAACCTTACCTATTTATTTGAATTGACCATCTATTTGAACCTTGTACCTCTCGTGAGCACTTAAATTTGTTATGAACTTTGTAAAAGTGAAGTGTGAGTGGGTTGGTTTGGATTTTGAGTGTAACTATTGAAATAAAGAGAAATGTGAAATGTTTTAAAAAGTAAGAGCCACTTGAATTGAAAAAGAAAAGAAAAGAAAAAAAGTGTGTGATTGTGAAAAAAATAATATTCCTTGATAGTGGTAACTCTTGATCTAATCGTGCTTAAAGAAGTAGGGAGTTAATGTATATTGATATGAAGGTGGAGTTTTGGTTTGACATAAATGTGGAATTTTGAATGGTTAATTGTATGTATTAAAGTGCTTAGAGAGGTGTAGTCACTCTTATATCTAAATATCCTATCCATCCCGCAGCCTACATTACAACCAAATTAAGTTCTACTTGATCCTTGACCGAATGAGCTTAATTAGTAGAGTAGTACACTCCGGGCAAGCCTATGGTACGTCTTTTGTGTCATATGAATACTGTTTGTGAGAGTGAGTGAATTCTTTCTATATGGAGTTCCCATTTTTTCTTAAATTTCATTATATGTGGAACTACTCTCTATTGTTGTATGAGGGAACTTGATTCATGAAGAAAAGGTAGTATCGTTGACCACTGTGTTAGAGTAAGTGAGCGGGTTATAAAAATACATGGTGCTTTTGAGTCAAATCTTGAGGCTAGGATGTTACGGTATTGTGCTTAATCTGTTTTAAACATTCTTGGTGTGATGAGTTATGAGAGTTGTTTAAAAAGGTCGTGTCTATGTGAAGTGTAGTTTAATTGCTCGAGGTCAAGCAATGGTTTAAGTGTGGGGTCTTGATGGTAGGCTATAATTATATATGTTAGTCTCTTCTTGCACTCTAATTCACTGTACTTTATTTGTGCTTGAGCTTTAATTGATAGTGTTTTGCACTTATTGTGTATTTTATGCTTTGCATGAAGTAATTCCGAGCTATGAAGATAATTCAGAGCTAATTGGAATAAGTTGGAGCTTTGAAATCTGAGTAGAAGCCCAAGAAATTAAGTCGGGATCACGTTCGGGGGTCGAGGACCAAGTCTAAATGTCAAAAAATGAGAAAACAAAATTACTCTGAGAAAATTGCACTAGTGCCCCATGCCATGCGTAGTGGGGCGCTACTTAAAAACTCCTGCAAAGAAAAAAAAAATCAGCTCTATGAAGTTCCCCACTATCGCGTGGAATGGCACGTCGCCCCATGCGGCACGCCTGTACAAATTTTACATAGTGAATGTCCTATTTCGGCCAGAAAAAGGTAATTTCATCTGGGCCCGACCCTACTTGGTATAAATATATCGAAAAATATTATTTTATAGACTTTTGACACATATTCAACCTAAGGAGGCTAAGGAGGTGTTGGAAGAACACAAACACAAGGATTCCATCATTTTTTCCTCACTCAAGACACGCGTTTGGATTGAATTTATATTTTCCTATACTTTAATTTTGTTTGTGATGAATTGCTCCATATCTATGGAGTATTCCATTTAGGATTTGATGGATTTGGTATATTGATGATTGTTTGTGGATTATAACTTTAGTTTTATGTATTGAATCTTTTTGGATGATTTAATTGTTGCATCTATATTCACTAGTTCATGTAATCGAGAGAGGCATAACTTGTGATATCCTTGCATTATATTATTGGTTGAGTTCTTTAATTCTTCTTAGCAATCGAGAGAGGTTAGTTGAATCATTGATTAAACATAGTTAGTAGGGTAATCGAGAGAGGTTCTCCTAAAGACCAATCCACTACGCATTCTTGCATATCTTCACGTGCTTAAATTGGTTCATCTTGTGAGGTTAAGACTTAATCGAGAGAGGAGTTTTTGCTGAACATTTGAACAAATAATTGAGTGAATTGGAGAGAGACTCACTTAAACATTAGAAGTGAATTATCTAGAGTTAGATCCTAAATAATTATGTTGTACCTATCCCATCAAAACCCTATCTTCTCCCATTGATAACCTTCTTTGCTTGTTCCTTGTTGCGATTGTCATTAGTCAATAGATTTAGATTCTTAGTTAGAAACTATATAAATCTCAATTGTTGATCATCTTGGATAGCAACCAAGCTAGAAACTACGAGAATATTGTTTAAATCTAATCCCTGTGGATAGGATATTATACTATACTATATTTGGTTAGAGAGCATAATTTAGTTGTGTGTTTCGAACTCGTCAAATTTTGGTGCAAGTCTACCCACTTTACGATCAATTTCAGACTTTAAAAAGTTGGTACAAATTAAAAAAATAAATTAACAAGTAAATATAAGTTAAATGGGGGCGACCAAATAGAGCGCCAAACCAATATTTCCGTTAGATACGTATCGTGTGGTCCATAGATAGTTAGGTTGGGATCCATTTCAAATCTTATACTTATCACATGGATTAAAAATGAAAAATTACACTAATGGCAGCCTTTAAATTTCTTTTTTATATAATTATCTTGGGTCTATTGGCACATGACATCATTTCATCCATCCCGTTAATTTGCTATAATATTTGCCTGTTAATTACTCTCCCTACATTGTTTTTGGATTTGTGGTCATATCCATTGGAATATGTAAAACGTTTCATTTGTCCCTTTAATTTGCTACAATATCTGTCGGTTGCTTGTCCTATAATTTTTGGATTTGTCGTCATGTCGATTGGCGCATGTAAAATGTTTCATTCACTCCTTTAATTTGCTGCAATATCTGCATGTTAATTGCTTACCGTATATGTTTTAGATTTGTGGTCATGTCCATTGGCACATCGACCCCATTGGTCTCAACTATTCCCATGTTTCGCAATACCTCATGGCAGCGGTCAAGATAATCCTGTGGGTCCTCAAAAGGTGTACCACTGAAGTGAACAAGAAAGAGCTTAGTAAAATTATCCAGTCTCAATAAGGCCTCAGAAGACATGGCGGGCCTATCATCGGCCTGTGCCGCAACAACTGGCTGAACTACCCCAATTGGCGGGGCTGCTAGAGCCTGATACTGGGGAGCCATCTGCTCCGGAGCGGGAGTAGTGGGAGTTTGTGCTCCTCTACCAGCATGTGAGATGGTTGGTGCCACTGAAAATGTACCATTCTGGGCCACGCCTTCCATAAGACTCACCAAACTGACTAGAGCATCCTGAAGCACTGGAGTAGCAATGAATCCTTCCAGGACCTGAACTTGTCTAACTGGTACAGTCTGAACTGGAACCCCCTCCTGAAGATCCACCCGAGGTTCTACAACAGGTGTTGTTGCTTGAGCTCTAGACTGAGTTCTACCTCTGCCTCTACCTCGGCCTCTAGCGCGACCTCGGCCTCGACCTCTACCCCTGGCCATAGTTGCCGGNAGCCACCAGGGGCTCTGGTCCATGTCCATCGGTAGATGTATTACGTGTTCTCACCATCTGCGAGAGAATAAGAATAGAATGGTTCAATCATCGATGATAGAATAAAATCGCACGACAGAATAAGAAAGAAGTGATATTGTT